AGATATTTTATATAGTTAAAGCCCTGATCTGCTGCAATTAAAAGTTTAACAGGTTAATTTGTGAAAATTGTGAACAGCTTTAATGTCAAATGACAATCAGCTTTTATCATTAACAATATTTTCTTTAATTGCTAAGTTAAAAAGGTAACTCTAGCCTTTATGAAATCTACATCAAAGGCAGGACTTCAGCAGAATAAGTTTCTGAGTCATCTAAACAATAGGTTAAAATCTTAATAAAATCTGCTCAAACTTAATAGTCTTGTATTAGTTTACTGTTTATTCCATGAGGACTCCTGATGGTGCTATCAGATAGCCTTGGATTGCTAAACACAAGTTAGTGCGGTCCAAATCCACCAACTACTGTGTGGTAGAGAGTGAAAGCTACTTGCTCCAGTAATATTTACAGGCTTGGGGACCCGATAGAGCAGGAGTCCTCAAACATTTTAAACAGTGGGCCAGTTCACTGTCCCTCAGGCCCGTTGGAGGGCGGGACTATAGTTTAAAAGAAAAAAACCATGAACAAATCCCTATGCACACTGCACATATCTTATTTTGAAGTAAAAAAACAAACGGGGCAAAAACACCCGGCGGGCCGCATGTGGCCCATGGGCCGTAGTTTGAGGACGCCTGCTATAGAGGGGCGCTTTGGGTCACAATTGATTTGATGCTAATGGGCTTGGTTTGGTTTGGGGTTTCATCTATGTAATATGTAATATTCTGTGTCTCTGAGCTCATGTTAACTTTTATTATGTCTCAAGATATATGTTATGTATGATGCTCTTTGGAAATGAGCGTCTTACTCATTTTTTTAAATCGAAAGTTTATTTCTAATGGACCTTTTTTGGAATTTTGCATTACTTTAATAGTTTCTATAACATCTTTCAGTGTCAGGAATTAATAAGTGAACTATTGTGTTAGGCTGGCTGTCTCTAGAAACAAAACCAGTGACACTCCTGTTTCGCCCTTTGAGCTACTGGGGGTTCACACAAAACAGAACAAGTACCAGTTCAACCATTTTCACATGTACAGCTCAGTGACCTTGATTACCTTCTTCCAGGCATGCAGCCAGTCTTACCTTCCCTTTTTGTGTCGGTTCCCCCATGATACCATAGACTCGCTATTGCAAGCTAAGCTTCCCAGCTCACCTGTGGCATTGCTTTGGTCAGTATGACCCCATATAGGCGAAAACCAAAACCAAAATCTCAAGACCAAGCTCACTGTCCAGTCGATGCCGACTCAGCAACCCTGTAGAACGGGTAGAGCTGCTCCGGAAGTTTCTGAGACTGTTCTGAGACTAGCTTTTTACAGGATAAAAAGCCTCGTCTTTCTCTGGAAGAGCAGGGTGTATTAGTCTGGCTACTTTGGAGAAACAAATCCACAGAAACTCGTGAATAAGAGAGAGTTTTATATAAAGGGTAAGTGCACGTCAAGAAAACATCCCAACCCAGCACTGCCCAAGCCCACAAGTCCAGCATTAACCCATTAACCCATATGTCTGACACCAGTCCACAAAGTCCTTCTCCATCTCACAAAACAGATGAAATGATGCTGACTGCAGGAGGAAACCCAAATCAGTGAATGTGTAAGCATCTCAGCGCTGGCAGGGGTCTCCACACGGGTGCTTCAGCACCCAGGGCTGCATCGGGGTAGGTCCATGTGGCTTCTCCTCAGGGATGTCTTGCAGGAAGTGAGCCTTGCCAGCTGAAGCAGGGAACTGGCTAAGGCAGCTGCACCCTGGTCCAACCATCAGAAAGCAAGAGAGCTGAGAACTAGAAAGGCAAGGCTTTCTGTGTCTAACCATGGTCAAATGGCATGGTGTCCTTCACAATTTATATTTCATTACATTCTCTTTACGCTCTCATTTGATGCCCAGAGTCCCAGAATTATCATGTACATATTTTTCACTTGTTTTCTTGATCTCTGCTGTAGAGAGATCGGATAGATAGTGTGTGTAACCAGGTCACCATGTGTCTCTTCCCCCAGATTATGTACTTTGAAGAAACCACAATTCTTGAGGAATTTATTTAGGAAATACTTTATATATATTTTCCCCTTATTTAGCAGCTCTGTCTACCAAGTATTTCTAGTAATTTGACGTTGCTCTCACACGTCTCTTTTGAAGACAAAGACAAACCAAATACTGCCACTGACCTTTCATGAAAAGTATTTAGGGTCTTAGAAACCAAACTCTATCTAAAAGCTATTTGAGATGTAAGTTCATGCAGAAGGCAGTCTTATAATAGTGATCAAGAGATTTCAAGAGCGGGGCATTATGGAATAGTACCAAAAAAATAGGTGCTTAGTGTAGGAGAGGTTTCTCCTCAGGGTGCAAACTCAGCTCCATTTGTATTGTACTGACAGAACTGGAAAATAACAGGCATTCAAGACACCTCTCAGTAATGGGTTAACCTCCACTGACGCAGGCAGGAGGGAGGCAAGGGGAGGCAGGACTGCAGCTGGGCTCAGCACAAAAACTGTCTTTGCACAAGCTGTCCCTGTCTTCGAAAGATAAGTACAGATATTTTTGAAAATGCTTGTGCAGGCTGGTTCTAGGACACGGCGTCTATAGATTAACTGATAAATGACTTATGTTTGACATATAGTTACTGGTGTCTGACTAATAGCTGTTTGTCTAACCTTCTCTTCCATAAAAGTCTTTCTAATTTTCTGTCCTTTGGTGTGATTTTTTAAACTTTGCAGACTGCTGCCCAGTTGCAGTGGAAACATCCTTAAGGCATCTCTTTACTTTTATTTCAACAGCTTACATGAGTTTACTCCTTGACAAAACTAACAATGCATGCTATTCTAAAAGACACAAAAAGCATAATGAAATTTGTGAAGGCAATGCACGTTGAGATCAAGAGTTCAAAGACTATTTACAGAAGATGGATTTACTCAGTATAGTCTGGTCTGAAGAGATCGGATGAATATATATTTGAATATATATGTAAGATGAATATATATATTTTTAGACACTTAGACTGCCCTGTTCGTTTCCATATCCTGTAATGAAGAAATGCAGAATAAATGCTTGGGCTGAAGTCATTATGTTGTTAGTGCCATTCAGTCCGTTCCAACGCACAGTGACCCTGTGTGCAACAGATCAAGCACTGCGGGGCTGTGCTGGCCTCACAGTGTCATGATTGAGCTCATTGCTGGACCACTGTGTCCGATCACCGCTTGGAGGACATGCCTCTTTTTTGTTTCTACTTTACATAAAAGAGCAAAGTATTCAGGTAAGTATAAATGAAGAACCAACAACAGAGAAATCACACTGAAATCCTAGTACAATGTTTTTCTATATGGTTGCATTTATAAGAATGATACTAAATCAATATAGCTTCCGTAAATTTACAAATACATTCTTATAACTGAGTAAGACCTTCTCTTTCTTTCAATGGAGCCCTGGTGGCATAGTGGGTCATGCCTTGCGAACAGGAAGCAGGTTGCTAATTGCAAGGGCAGCAGCTCAAATCAAGGAGTCACTCCAGGGGAGTGAGATGGTTTCTCTACTTCTGTTGAGGTTCTCAGCCTCAGCAACCCCAAATGGGCCATTCCACTCTAGCCTGTAGAGTCGATATGAATCATAATTGACTCGATGTCAGTGAGCTCTTTTTGATTGTGTTGTGTGTGTGTGCTTGCTTTGGTTCTGTTTTTTGAAATAATCCCCGTCTTCAACTGTGTCTCGACAGTAAGTTTCACAGGAAATTAGTTTTCTTGTGAATGATATACTTGCCTTGTAGTTTATTTATTTTTCTAAAGAACTTATTTTTATATTTTATAGAGAACTTAAAAATATAAATTTTGTAGTACTTTCCGTATTTAATTTTTCTACCACCTTCCTTTGGTAACAGAATGGTTTAAAGCAGGCGTCCTCAAACTGTGACCTGCGGGCCACATGCGGCCCACCGGGTATTTTTGCCCCGTTTGTTGTTTTACTTCAAAATAAGATATGTGCAGTGTGCATAGGAATTTATTCATAGTGATGTTTTAAAACTATAGTCCGGCCCTCCAATGGGTCTGAGAGACATTGAACTGGCCCCCTGTTTAAAAAGTTTGAGGACCCCTGCCATAGAGCATCTCAATGATTGCATAATATAATTAGAAAGCATAGAGTGGCCCTCACTGAATTTATATACATCGGGAAAATTAATATCATGTTTTGAGTCAGCAGTATGACATTTTATTGAATATTATATTATCATTGTAACATTGCCACTAACATTAAAAATAGAATATTTGAAAATAAAAACATTTTGCCAAGACAGTGATATTTCATCATTTTAATGACATCTTGAATATTAGCAACACTGAAGTTTAAATACCATGGCGCAAATCTGAATGCTCAAAAACATGATCTTTGATTCTAACATTTATATATATTTCTGAAACTCTTGGTAAGCGGTTCCTCTGTAGATTCTAAAAATCCACAGAGACATTCTCTGACCTATTGGTTTTTCTAGGATGTTTGAAATCTACGTTGAAATAGCAGTGTTCTCCTTTTACTTGCCTGAAGGAAGATTCTATCATGTGTGCTTCTTAAGAGGCAGTGGTGGCTCCGGTCTGGTCTTCCCTGCTGGAGACGCAGATACGATTTCTTGTTATCACACACAGTCACCACCTGACCTTCCGTGGATACTTGCATTTTGCTAGGATGCGGAACAAGTCTCATGGAATTTTCTAGACTAGGATGAATAGCATGAAAGGGCTAGTGATGTATTTCTATAAAAATTAGTTATGAAAACGGTACGGATCACTGTGGTGCATGGGATTCCTGTAAGGGAGTAGGTAACAAGTTGTGCGTTTTTTTTTCTTTCAGAAAACGGAATCATTATTTGGTCTATTTTATTTGTTCAAAGAGAAAAACAGACTAGTCATAATGTTGGTAGTGTTGACTTCCACATCATCATGGTGAATTTGAAAATAAGTGGAATGCGTAACAATGGCAAAGCCCAAGGCCTGGGATCCTCATGGCTTCTGTTTGTTGTTTGCCTCTGCAGAGACAAATGCATGACCTGAACCATGGCTCAGTTTTATTATAAACGGAATGTGAATGCCCCGTACCGAGATCGGATCCCTCTGCGGATCGTTCGAGCGGAATCGGAACTCTCACCCTCCGAGAAAGCCTACTTGAATGCAGTGGAGAAGGGAGATTATGCAAGTGTCAAGAAATCCCTCGAGGAAGCAGAGATTTATTTTAAAATCAATATTAACTGCATCGACCCTTTGGGAAGAACTGCCCTTCTCATCGCCATCGAAAACGAGAACCTGGAACTCATCGAGCTGCTGTTACGGTTCAACGTGTACGTCGGCGACGCCCTGTTGCACGCCATCCGCAAGGAGGTGGTCGGCGCGGTGGAGCTGCTGCTGAACCACAAGAAGCCCAGCGGGGAAAAACAGGTACCTGCCACCCTCGCTTCCAATATGACACCTTTTGTTTGTTTGAAAAAGGTGTTCAAATACCCCCAGCTTCTTTCCAGGCACTGAAATCAGAAATATTTTCGTGGAAAATTACTGGGAAAGCACAACAAACTGACGTCTATTGACTTAACATAGATGGAAACGAGTTTCATCTCCAGCTCCAAGTGTTACGTCCTTTGGGGTTTAAGGTGTCCGGGTATGTGTGTGTTCCTCGCGTGTGCCATTTTCTGACATGCTGCAGTCTCAGACCGTGAACCGTTTTGAAGTGTTCCTGCTCTTTAACACGCTTACTATTGCTCTTTAACACTCCGTGGATTTCTTTTACATTGGACACACAGACACAAACATAGGAAGCGACTGCCCTTTGGCAGTAAAGGTAGCAAATTGACTAATGGCAAAACTCTAGCCAGACCTTAATGCTATCCGTAGAAAACAAACGGAGATAGACACACCCCTATAAGCAACATGTGTATGTGTGTTTTTCTCTTCTTCCTAAGGTCTCCATGTCTTTAGCATTAAGGAAGGTGGAAGAGGGAAAGGCGTGAGGAGTCTGTGTGTCTGCCTTCCAAGGGCGTTGCCCACGGTGTCTTCTGTCTTTCACTCTGCACTCTTCCCGTCCCTGATCAAGGCTCAGGGACTAATTGCAAAGATATTGAAACCTGTCCTTTCCAATAAGATTTTATAAAATGTCTGTTAGACCAGCCCTAGAAATGGCTGCCCTATGTGATATCCAGCAAATCCCTCTCTGTGTAAATGAGAGCCTGTGAGGAGGGGGTAGGGGTTCGTTTTAAGCGAGCTATACAGTTAGTTATACAGCTCATTGTTCGGGAAAGAATGCCGTGGCTGAGTGCTGCCTGAAAAATTCACCCTGTCTTCTCAGAAGTCTGTGTTCTTTTCTTGTGTCTCACTACCACGCACCCTGTGACCTTACCTGAACCACAATTCTATGAGACACCACACCACGATACCAATACCTCTCTGATTATTGCTGCTTCATAGCCAGGGGCTGTGGGCTACCTTCCATCATGGTAATCGTCACTGATGGACGTTTGCTTTTATTCGTCCTTCCGGATGCACATAAGCCTTCAGTGGTATGGGTCGGTAGAACAGGTCAAAGGTATCTTTCTCATGTATCCTGGTATTTGGGCCATTTCTGGTGTTGCTGTTCATCAGGACAAAGGAAATGCAGACTGATGGGTCTGAGCTAAGTAGGCTTTTCTCTATTTAAGTGCAGGTGCCCTAGTCACCTGGAATATTGAAATGTCTTCCACAATCATAGCACTAAGGTATTTTCCGTTTCTTTTGGCAGCAATATTGGATTCTGCAATCCTCTTCTTTTCTGTGAACCATAAGCAGCCCTAGGGCAAATAGTTGCGTTTGCAGAACAAAATTGTGATGAAATGTATTTTCGTGCTTCTTGATCAAGAGCCACCTTCATTCTATTTTCTAGAAAACATTGACCATCGATTCTGACGTCTCTTTAATCAGGTCAATGACATTTGTGCTAAGTGGAGTGATATGGTGTCTGGGAAAGATAGCTGCTATTATGAGAGTGTTTGTTGGCTGATGCTCAAATTCTGAGCTACACTCCAGTCTCACAAGTAGGTCCTGGCACCTTGGAAGCACTTGATCTGGGTCCTGGTTATTAATACAAGGCAGTAAAAGTTTGTAATCTGCCAGGCATCTGAAATATCCCAGACCATGTGTTTCTGGAAGATTTCTCTTGTCTCAGTCAGCTGGCCAAGAATTCATTTTCTATTTGTACATTCTAGAATTCCTCTTTAGTGAAGGTACTGATAATAAATAAACCATTGGGCTTTTTGTTTGAAGTCTTTATTATTTTGTAAGAATAACTCCCATCTATTTCAGAATTCCTTAAATTTTGTGCAATTAAGGCAAACCTGAAGCATCATGAGACATACATTTTATATCACATAGAACAGCGGTTCTCAACCTGTGGGTCGAGACACCTTGGGGGGTCAGACGACCTTTTCGCAGGGGTCACCCGATTCATAACAGTAGCAAAAGTACAGTGATGAAGTAGCAACAAAAATAACCACATGAGGAACTGTATTAAAGGGTCGCAGCCTTAGGAAGGTTGAGAACCACTGCCATAGAAGACAGCCTCAGGTATTAGGGGTGTAGTCAGCCCCGACTAGAGTTTGTCTGTTCATTTATGAATTTTTCAGGTTGTGCATGGAAGCATTTAGAATACAGTTTCCATAAATCAACATGTGTTGTAGGTATCAAATAGACTCCCGTCAGGAGTTTCTTATTTCATTATGTGTCATTTCGTAGATGACTTATGTCCTTTGAAAACCATTTTGGGTATTTTTATGATTCACCGAGCTTTAAGCCTCACCAGCACCACCACCACCCCCTACCCCCTGAGAGGGAAAAAAACAAAACAAACTACAAAGAGCATTCTATCCATAATTTTGTTGTTGAAGATATTGGAGTCAAGTATTAAATCCTGAAAATAATAATATCTAAATGTGAAGTATGTAAAATTGACATAATTATCTTAAAATAATTCAAGAAAGGGGATCCAATATAAAACTGTGTGTAGTTCTTGCTATTAGAACAGATCCTAAACTCTTCAAATGTGACTTGTGGATTATATATTCTTTATACTTTTGTTGCAAATTTGTTTCTCTCTCTGGAAAAAGGTTCAGTTTTTGAATCCTAATAAGGGGCTGGGTTAGGACTGACTGTCTAGGGAAATACATCCAGTGACACTCAACTATGTATAAGAAAGAGCTTCTTATCAAGAAGTCATCCCTGCCCTGTCCCACTCAGGTCCCTAAGTCTGATGCTAGTCCATAAGTCCCTCCTCAGTGCCAGTGACTCAGCACGGTGAACTGGGAAGCAGGAAGACCACAGGTTGGTGGGTAGGAGTCACGTGGATCCACAGTTGTAGAAACATGGCAGGATGCTGACAGCTCTCAGGGTTGGCGGCAGAGTCCCAGCAAGCAGGAAGGTGGTGGAGCAAAGAGAGCATGAGGTTCCCTGGATCAACCCTTCTAAAAAAGAAGGCCATACTCCCCTGGAGACATGCAGACAGTGACCTGATGGACAGGTGGGATGCTACCCCTACGCTTTCATAAAAGTTCAAGTTGACATAAAACGATTTCACTACCACAAGGGCTATGAGATTCCAGATTAATCTTTTGTACTTTTCACCTACGTTCCCGAGGGAACAATTTTAGGATGTTTTGTCTGCCAGGACTTCCCCTGAGTGCCGAAGGGAAGACATATCTCCTGCTCCAGAGAGTGTTAAGGACTGAGTTCTGAAAGGAGACAGGAACGGAATTGTGGCAGGAAACTTTGAAAAGATGAAGGAGAAATAAATTCTCAAGTACTTGGGTAGTTAGAGGACTCCGGCCTCCGGTGAAGGATGAAGGTAGGATCTGGGAACGGGTAAGAGGGATCATCGAACAACAGACAAACATAATGTTACACACGAACCTGGGTGAAGATTGATGAGATGTCAAGTATTTTGTTACATATTAATTCAACACAGTGTAAAAGGGGAAGAAAGACAAATAAAATTTGACTGGATGTGATAAATACTGATTGTTGCTAAACTTGGGGCCCAGAAGGGAAGATGATCTTCAAGGGGAATAGCAAGAATGTTCAAATGTGCACAGTTTGGAGATTTTACTTCCATCAACTTGGATACAGAGTATGCGCAAAGGGTGGTGGAAATACTTTGTGACATTGAAATTGATACCTCGGAGGTCAGGGATTCCTATGTAGGTGTCCATGACAATGAGGGATTGTCCATGACAATCCCTGTCTTCTTTTCTCCCTTCTTGTCTTTATGCAGCCCTCAAATGTTTGTGAGTCTTACTGCATATGAGATATTCTCAGTTCAGCGTCTGACGAAAAGATCTTGACAACTAGGTGAACATTTTCAGATAACTAGATGAACATTGATTATTAAATATTCCTTACATATTTAATATAGATCCGTATAAGCCAGGGTTTTGAATTCCAAGTGTTTTAGTTTCTCTTTAATATCAAAACATGAATAGAGTAATATTCTTTGTTTCTCTCATATAATAGAAATTCATGATCCTCTGCACGAAACAGGAAGATAAAACAGTATGAATTTCTACCTGGAAATTCCTTGCTAGATTCTCTCACTGATAATCTCTGACAATGTTATTTAACTTTCATTTAACCTTTTTAGTGCCTTATTTCTCTAGTGCCTATTTAGTGCCTATTTCAACCTTCCTAATGCCGTGAACCTTTCATACAGTTCCTCATGTTGTGGTGACTCCCCAAACCATAAAATTATTCTCATTGCTACTTCATAACTGTACTTTTACTCCTGTTATGAATCAGGCGACCCCTGTGAAAGGGTCATTCAACCCCCAAAGGGGTCGTAACCCACAGGTTGAGACCCACTGCTTTAGCGACTACTCAGGATGACTTTTAGTCTCCATTTTAGGGAACTGAATGGTTACTTGACTTCCAATTAGATCCAGCAGACCTTGCCTCTGATCCCTTTTAGGGCCAGAATCAATTTTAGTTGCAGCTGCTTCAGGAAACCTTTATCAGAAACAAAACTTGGTTTTAAATTCTTCCCTTACACAGTGGTTTCCCATCCTAATTTTCTCAGCAGGACTTGTTAGAATGTTGATTACTGGAACTCACCCCAAACTTTTCTCTAGCAGGTCTGGGATCCGGCCTCAGGATTTGTACGTAGTTCTAGCAGGTTCCCCCGTGGTATGGATGAAACTGATCTCAAAATCACCCTTTGATAAACACCAACTTAAAGGTATTTCAAGGCACAGAATGCTATAGCTGTATATGGCATGTCAGCTGTGCTGAACTGTCCTTTGAAAGCATTGTTTCCAGGATTCCATGGTGTTTAAAATATGAGTCTCCCCCAGGCTCAGTAGCCTCTTCATGATGATTGTCAACCCTGTGGGGGAAAAAGACTGCTAAATTCTATTGATTAAATGAGGAAT